ACCAAAATTAATAATAAAATACAGGAGTCTGAGTTGCGTTGTCAAATCAAGAACAATACCGAGGTGGCATCTTAGTTTGGTTTGTACGTTACAACTTATAGGACAGAGAGGAACTGACAGCGAATAAAAGAACGGAGAAGATACAGCCAGCCAGCCAGCAGCAAAATCCACCAATTAAATCGTGGGATTTTTGTCTATACTCAGACGCATCACCAAAATTCGGTAAAATGATGGTCGCCAAATCTTTTTCACGGGGATTTTTAGAATTCCGTATTCGTGATTTTTAAATTTTAAAATAATTTTTAATCGTACTATATATAATTAAGGATCATAATAAAAAAAAATTTAAAATTTTCAAAAAAATATCCGACGGGAATCCTTTTACCCAAAATTCCTCAACATTTCCAGGTTTTAGTGAAAGTCAGTTGAATATAATTAATTTACAGCTCCTAATTGGCTCCTATCCTCGATATTGAGGAGTTTCTAAATATGCCAACAGGATCCTCTTCGGATCTTTTTTTATGAGAATTCTGAAAATTTGTGAATTGTATTTGTTTATCGTCTCAGTTTTTGTCAAGTAATGTTTGTGTTTAATTTTAAATATTTTTTATTTAAAATAATTTTTGATCGCATGATGTACGATGAACGGACAAGATTGATGGATTCTCGGGATCCTCACAAAGAAGATTCGACGAGAATCCGTATTTCAAAATATATTCACTTAGTGGTCGATTTACGAAATTCTGTATTTATGATCATAATTATTATTATAAATAACCACATAAAGATCATTTTTACAAAAGAATCAATTAAGGCTAAGTTTATTTATTAAATCAATTATATTAAATAGATTGATAGTTCGTAATTCTTTTACTAAATTCGTCAATCTATTTTTATACAGTTCGATGACTAAATGATCTCATATTTGATTAGTTTTTTACAAAAATGATCTTTACAAAGTTATTTATAATATAAACAATTTCAATTAAAAATATGAAGCCGTAAATCAACCACGTAAAATTTTGAGGAGAAGTTCTTCTCCTCCGTTAAAGAGCCAAGTTAATTCCAAAACCAGGTAAATTGTTACCTCATGGCCACATGCTTATGTGGATAAATGACCTATCTTACGTGGATTATATTTACTAGTGTAAAAGGGGGGTTTTATTCATATATCGTGTCATTGACTGGGTGTAAACTAAAAGCTCCCATTTTTTTATTCAATTACAGGACAAAGTGTCGTCCAGAAATTTAATCAAAGTGTGACGAGTCCATTGGATTTGTACATATTACATAAATTATCACTAACAACTGCTAATTAACACATACAAAGTATGTACTTAACCATTATAATGAACTAATAATTATATACCAGTAGTCATATTTTGTCTTAATTTTCGTTTTTAAGCTTGTGGGAATGGAAAGTCGAAACTTTTAACTTTTTCTAATATTACGAGAAAAACAAAAAATAACAAGACCTTTAATAATTTTGAAAAACAAAAAATATATAATTTTAATGCATTAAATGTCGTGTCTTTTGTATTAAAAAATCACACATTAAAGTGTAAAAGTCTAAATTATTGTGACACAAATTCTAGCACATGTCTCCCTTCGCAGGCTACAATTGCTCTTTTGTTTGATTGTATCGGTATTATTGGTTTTTCGCAAGGTTTTTTGCATTAATTGATTTCTTTCTCAAGCAAAAAAAATATATAAATAAATAAAAAATAATCTAGCAAATGTGTGATTGTGTAAATCATTAGTAAATTGTATTTAGGATACTACAATATCTTATTGCTATAGGTTGTATTACTTCTAAGACAATGAATTACTATAAAAAAAGGCACAGGTGATGGAAAATATACATCACAAAAATTCCTCAACTCTATCTTTTCTCTCATTATCACATCCTTTCTCTTTCTTCAGTAAAATAGGTCACAACACGTTATCAAGCATGCTCTTAACGCTGGGCTAAGAAACTGAAGAATATTTTGCTATAACATGTTCACAAGATTGATCATCGCAATCTAGATTCTTCTAAGACACGGTCTAAATTATCGATATTTTTTCAGCCTAATTGCATGGGATATTCACCATCGAGCATGAACCTTAATATACAGTCACAAATTGCAAGCTAATAAAATGGGGATCAACCAGGTAAATTATTAGAAAATGTTGGGCTACAACATGCTTATTTGGATAAATACCTATCCTACGTGGATTATATTTCCTAGTGTCAAAAGGTGGGTTTCAAATACATAATTAGGGGTAACTGTGAACTATGATTTTCTTGGCCAAATTAAGAGCGTCGAAATATACTTATCTTAGAAGTCTGATCATGGACTCAACATCTCCGATTAGATTGAGCTGCTTAAACAAATCAGTGATACCACCACATCCTGCTGTCTTCTCGTAACATGGGCAAACCCACTTCGCCAAGATCAACCATTCTTGTTCCGTAAGAATTAACCAAGCCTACACTCTTGGAGATACGTACAACATAGGGATTAACGTGCAGTAATATCTATCTTTAGATATCCTTTAAGTATTCTCCCAATTTATACGGATTCCATATCCTAAAAGGCCAATCTCCCGACTAGTATAAATACACCCTACTAGGGTTAATCTCTGCTAACAAACACTTATCGCACAAAACACTCTTTGCTTTATTTTTTTGCTCACTGCTTGCGTCTTAAGATTTGTTACTAACTTCATCGTCGGAGAGCCTTTGGCCAGAGACGCCACCGGTACCAAGGTGATCTTACTATCTTTTGTTCTTTTACAAGTAGTCAAGTTTGTACTTCTCCTCCACACTTGATTTCGACAACTGGTTAATCTTGATTGTTGACTTCGTTTGATTTATTCAATCTAATGGTTGAAAATAAAGAGATGTGCATGAGAAATTGAAAATGGTGTGTGAAAATCATTTCCCTTTATGAACCCTTGCAATCTAAGGTGGTTTGTTCATATGAAAAAATACCTACAAATATTCCGGTTAGAAAATGTGATTAGAAAACAAAAACTAAGGGTAAAAAAGATAGAGGAAAACCTAAGAAGAATTGAAAATAGATTTAAAGAAAAGACATGTAGATGTGGAACTAACGAAAACTTAACGCAAAATCCTATGCAGTAGTGTTTTAAGTTTTATATAGCCTACACCACATAAAAGGATAAAGTATTGTTGTTGTTGATGTAATTTGATCTGTGACTCCCCTCCTTTTTTTTTTTTTGGTCAATAATTTGATCTGTAGCTCCCCTCCTATTTTTCTTTTGGTCAATATTTTGATCTGTAACTCCCCTCCTATTTTTTTTTTTCGGTCAATAATTTGATCTCTAACTCCCCTCCTATTAGGCAACCTTTGAAAAAACTTTTTATAAAATTCTTTAGTTTTTTTTAATTTAAAAAGTATAGCACAAAAAAGACAGGGCTCATGAATCCCCCCGTCCAGATTCCTTTCACTGCTTTAAAGGTCTAATGGTATTTAAAATACCAACAGGATCCTCCCCGGATCCTTTTGGTTATGATCTTATAGATTCGTGAATCGTATCCATTTATTATATATCGTATGGTTAATTTTTTTTTAAATACTATTTGTGTTTAATTTTAAATAAAAATATTTAAAATAATTCCTAATCATATGATGTACAATGAACAAACAAGATTAACGAATTATTAAAATTCTTACAAAGAAAATCTAGGAAGAATCCGAATGCTTTGAAATAGATAGTTGCGGTCCAATATGCTAAATGTCACCCCCCACATCGTCACATACTATATTTATTTAATAGAATTCGGTGTCACTCTTTTCAAACGGCAAAGCCTCCTTCCTGTCATCAATTAATTGGAAGTAGATTGTTTGTCCTTCTGTTATTATGTCCTTCCTATTCATTTTTATTTGTGCGGTCATAGTTAAGTTACATTAATATTTTATATTCTTATTATTTTTCATCTTATTATTTCTATTAAAAAATTAATATAAAATATTAACATAATTTAACCATGACCGCACAAATAAAAAAGGATAGAAAATGCACGAAAACAGGAGAGCAGACAATCTACCTCCCAATTAATGCAAGCCAGCAACGCCAAGAGCACCAACTTATTTCCATCACATCAACCAGCAACTTGTAAGTAATGTTGGCGATCCTCAGTTTTGTGAGGAGCCTAAGCTAATCAACCTGTTATGTACATTTGTATTTTTTCCGTAGCCTGCTACGTTAGAAATCAGCAAATTTGGTTCATTAACACAATAAACCACAAGGTCTATTGAAATATTACACTACATATTAGGCTACGGAAAATAATACAAATGTACATAATAGGTTTATTATAATGTTGTAATAAGTCTGATTGTGTGGTTTATTGTGTTAATGAACCTAATTCGCTGATTTCTAAAATAAACCTATCCATGAGGTTTATGAGATTAATGAATCTTTAGAGAGGTTCAATTTAGGGTTTATGAGGAAATTAGTGAACCTTTAACATAGATTCAATTAGTGGATTTAGTGAACCCATATAGTAAAAAGCCATTCAATTAGGGGTGTGCTAGGCACATATCTCTTTTTACTTCTCACGTACCTCTTGTTAATTTCTGTTATTTGTTATTCTTCAATTCAACCGATCTTACGACTGAAAATTAAAAAGATGTGCGAAAAGTAAAAAATAGTGTGTGAATAGCACGTCTCTTCAATTATCTCCAAAGAGAAACACGTAACTCACAAGTAATCAAAACACTTCCTCTTCACTATATCTTAGGTTCGAGTTAAAAGATAATTTGAATCACATTATTACCAGTTTGTTATAAAACTAAGCCTTCCTGAGTGCAAAGGATATCGTTTTTTCAAAAAAAATAAAAAATAAAAATGCTTTCTTTCTTTCTTATGCTCAAAAGAAAAAAAACAGTTTCTTCTTTCCCCTTGATCTTTACACCTGTGAATTTGCTTTTGCAATTTGAAGGCTTAAAACAGGAAGCAGCTAATGCCATACAGTGAGCAGCAGAAGATGAAGTGGAAATCAGCATTCAGTACTACTACCATTACTACTACATGATGAAGACAAACTTATAAGAAAATAGCCTCCCCCCTCCCCCAAACGTCCAACTGTACACCGAAAAACTTCAAACTTAAAAGTTAGACCAAACCAACCCCTCCCAAATAAAACTAAACAACACATACAGTAAAAACGCTAGTACGATTCGTGCAATTTTAGAACGAACACTTGCATTCCAAGAAGAAGAAAAAAACTATGACTTCATATGCTAAGAAGATCAGGCGGCGGAGACTGCAGGTGGTGGCTGGTCTTTCGTGTCTTTTGACGTTGTACCTGGAGACTCTGATGCAGTAGTGGCAGGGGGAGGGGAGGACTCTGTGATGGCTGAATCCTCTACCAGTTTTGAGCCAGGTGCCTTTGGAAGCTCGGTTAGAATTTGAACCACTTCTCGCATTGTTGGACGCTCCACTGCTTGTTCTTCCACGCACAGCATTGCAACGTAAAATACGTGCATAACCTCATGGAGAGGAACTGAAGGGAGTCTAGGGTCAAGGATTTTGAGGACTCCTTCCTTGTTTGAGTCTGTCATTTTTCGCACCCACTGGACTATGTCTACTCCGTCCCCAAATTCACCAACCGGTTTCCTGCCGCTAACAAGCTCCAAGAGAACCACACCGAAGCTATAAACGTCGCTCTTCTCATCAACCTTCAACGTGTATGCATACTCTGCACAAACCAAAAGCCATTTACAAATTAATTAGGTGCTCATCCACTTCAATTGTCAATTTTTGTGGGTTACAGTAAAAAGTCGTTAAATTTCATCTACTTTCAACGAAGCCCACCAACCACTAAATCAAATTTTCAATCAAAATCATATATGCAATTATGAAACCAAAAGTCAAATTTCGCCAGATGACAAAGAAGCTTCTGCAAGAAATAAATGCAAAGACCTTACACATATAGAACTATCAGGGAACCAAAACTCAACTCAATTAGTACATTTTTACACAGTAATAAAGTACTCAAAAATTCAAAGATTGAATGAGCATATCACACCTGGAGCAATATATCCATAAGAACCAGCAATTGCGGACATGCATTCGGATGTTCCGGAATCCTGCAGGAACTTGGCAAGGCCGAAATCAGCAACATGAGCTTCGAAATTGGAGTCGAGAAGGATGTTATTCGACTTCACGTCCCTGTGGACGATCAAAGGCGAGCAGTCGTGGTGAAGATAGCATAGACCCTTTGCAGCCTCAATGGCGATTTTGTACCTTGTGTCCCAATGCAAGTGACCCCCTTTCTTACCATGAAGAACTTCACCCAAGCTCCCATTGGGCATGTACTCATAGACTAAAAGATTTGTCTCGTGATTCGAACAGAAACCCAATAGTCGAACAATGTGCCTGTGCCGAATTCGACCAAGAGTTTGGATTTCGGCGTTGAATCCGTGGTCGTGGGAGGAGCCTCTGCTCATTGCAGGGAGTCTTTTGACAGCCACATTGTCACCACTAGGCATAGCTCCTTTGTACACAATCCCAGCCCCTCCTTCCCAATAATGTTGTCCTCCTTCAACGAATCCAACACATCATCAACCGTGAAGTCCAACCGTTGGAATGCAGTCAGTTTCCAAGCTCGGGAATCGCTTGCTTTCTTCAACGACCGGGCCTTGATTATCGCTGCAACAGCGAATATGATCGAGCACAGAAGCAACCCAATAACAAGCAATAGCTTCAGTGAAGCAGTGAGTGCACCTTTGACATGAGGTTGGTGAGTGCCATTGGCAACCCCGTCTTTGCAGGGAACCAAATAGGGACCGCAGAGATCGGGGTTTCCCAGAAACGATGTGTAATTGAAGTAACTGAACTGACCGGTCCCCGGAACCAAACCCGAAAGATTGTTATACGAAAAGTCCACAGATGTCAGGCTCTGCATTGTGGATATAGACGACGGAATGCTGCCCACAAGATGGTTTCTCGACAGGTTGAGGTAGTTCAGTATCCTCATACCAGTAATCTCCTTCGGAATCTCGCCGGAGAGCTCGTTTCGGCTGAGATCGACGAATGTCAAGAGCTTGCAATGGCTGATTTCGGGCGTTATGGGACCCATGAACTTGTTGTGCTTGAAATCCATCTTGGATACCTGCTGTAATCGCCCAATCTCGGGTGGAATTCGACCCGAAAACTTGTTTCCGTCGAGAAGAAGCTTCTGGACGCCGGAGAAGTTGCCGATGCTGGGCGGAAGAGACCCGAAAGCCGGTTATTGGAGAGACTAATCTGGCCGAGATTCCCCGAGATTGAATCTGTCTCGGGAAACGAACCGTCTAAGAGATTATCCTGCAACTCGACTTGTGTAAGCTTGGGCAAACTAAGCAGCCCTTTCGGAATCGACCCGTTGAGGTAGTTGTCACCCATTCGAATCCGACTCAGCGAATCGCACCGGCCAAGCGACTCGGGAATCGGCCCGAAAAGGAAGTTTGACAGAGTGATGAGGGTCTGGAGATTGTTCCCGAAACACATATCGGGAGGGAGAGTTCCCGTCAACTTGTTCGACGAAAGGTCGAGAATTTGGAGCTTCCCATTTTTGCCCAGACCCTGAGGTATGCTGCCGGTGAAGTTGTTCTCCCAGAGCTGCAACACCTGGAGCTCCGGCAAGTCGCCGATAAAGTCGGGAATGGCGCCATGGAGCCTGTTTCGGAAGAGATTCAAAAGGGTCAAGTTCTTGAGCTCCGAAAAGGAACCCGGAATCTCGCCCGTAAACACGTTGTTGGATAAGTCCATGGATTTCAAGCTCTTGAGGTAACCCAGCTCGAGTGTCAACGACCCGGAAAGAGCATTGACCTGGAGAAACAGGGTGTCAACATTTTGCAGTCGACCCACTTCCGGCGGGATCTCTCCAGTTAAGTTACAGTTGGCGGCGTCGAAGCGGACGAGATTGGACAAGTTTCCAATTTCGGGCGGTATTCCGCCTTCGTAGCTGTTGAAGTAGCCGATGTAGAGCTCTTTCAAGGTGGTTAAGTTTCCAATTTCGGGCGGTATTGGGCCGCCGAGTTCGTTGCCGGAGACGGCTAAGTACTCGAGGAATGGGAAGCGGCCGAACTCGGGAGGGATCTGGCCGGAGAAGAAGTTGCCGCCCAAATGCAAGTGGCGGAGGGAGGTCATGTGGGTGACGGAGACGGGGAGGTCACCGGTGAGGTTGTTGTTGTAGAGGTCGAGGACGGTGAGGCGGGTGAGGTTGGAGAGCTGAGGGGGGAAGGTGGTGTTGAAGACGTTGTTGGAGAGGTTGAGGAGGCGGAGGCCGGAGAGGGCGGAGATCTCAGGCGGGATGGGACCCGAGAACTGGTTCTCAGCGAGGGTGAGGTTGGCGAGGAAGCGGAGGTGGGCGAGGTCAGGGGAGAGAGTGCCGGTGAGGTCGAGGCCGGAGAGGTCGAGGGAGGTGACGTAGCGGCGGGAGGAGTCGCAGGTGACGCCGGACCAAGTGCAGTGGCTGGTGGTGGGGGTCCAGGTGGAAAGGGCGGAGTTGGGGTCGGAGGTTATGGACGACTTGAGGGAGAGGAGGGCGCGGTAGTTGGACATTGCGATGGCGGAGAGAGAGTGGAGGTGGAGGAGGAGGAGGAGGAGGAAGAAAAGGAGCCGCATTTTTTGTGGTGTTTGGGTGGGCGGTGTGTGGAGGAGAGAAGAGAAAGAGGGAGGGGCGGGGTGTAGAGAGTAGCTGGAGTGAGAGTGAGACTTTATTCTCTTCTTCCGTAAGAAGTAGAGATTGTGTGATTTTATTGTCTTATTTTTAAATTTAAAAAATAATAATAATAAATTTAAAAAAAAAAAAAAAAAAAAAAAAAAAGAGAGAAAGATAAAGGAAGATGGGTTTGAAATATTTGATTGAAAGTTTTGGACTTTCATTGTTTTTTTCTTTTCAGTATGAAAGAAAATATAAAAGAATAGGACTCTTTTGGGTCAGAAAAGGGTCCTTTGTGAGAGTAAAAAAAGTCCTTTTTGGAGGAAAATATAGCTTTTTGTTTTTGTTTCTGAATCTTATGCTGATACCCCTTTTTTATTTTATTTATAAAGTTGGATAAATAATTGATGTTCAATGTATGTGTTTGAATTATGAATGTACTATTCGATTAATAATTTTCGAACTGGTTTTGGATTTTCTCCTTAAGACCCTATCTAAATTTTTAACCTTTTTCTTTCTTAGAAGATAGCCCTTCTGATGTAATTTCAATTTGGTTCATTTTCGATTCAATTCAATGCCCGTTTGAGTTCCATATTATATAACCTATATATGTTTGAAATTTAGATTTTGAGACAACTAATATTAATGTTGACCATGATATATCCAGTTGGTGGGTTTTGAAAATAATATAAGTTTAAAAATTAATTGGAGCTTAACAAATGTGACATTTCAATAAGTTGAGTATTTGTTTGGCCATAAAAATTAATTGGGGCTTAACTAATATATTTTAATGCTTACTCGAGATATTTGTCTCTTGATCTTAACCTTTATTTATGTGTTACTTGTAGGTAGTGCTATATATCAAAGTATCTTTTTTTACTTTTCATACTCTTTGCTCAATTTTTTGCTATCAGATCGAATGAATTGAAAAAAAATGACAAAAATTAACAAAAGTGTATGAGAAGTAAAAATGAGTGATTATGGATGATTGTTTTTTCATTTGGCAATTCGCACATTATTAATGGGGCTTAACCTTAATTCGCTCCTCTCACATCACAATAATTAGCATTCATTTATAACAGCATAATTGATAACCTAGAATATAAAGGTATGTTATGCACAAACCGAAGGAGATAATAAGAAAATCCGATGCCACTCCCGCGGCGGAGTTAGCTAGTCTTCCATCACAAAAGTGACATAGAATTTTTTACCACTATACTATTATAATCTTTTAAATTTTGTTTAGGAAGTAGTTTTCACACTCTTTTTATGGTCATGCACGCTTCCATTTCTCTTCTAGCCTCAAAATTGAGTCAGTGAAACAAAATCAACAAAAAAATAAATAAACTGACAGGAGTGTAGAAAGACTCATTTCTTTAAGAGCATAGGCTTAACATTTTAAAAATGTTAGTCATGTGCCCAATTTACTGCCCTTATTCTATTTTAAGCTTTATTTTCAAGGATTGGCGATGGTCTAAGAGGTAGAAAATGAGTTAAACCTTATAATCGGCTAACAATAATGTGGTTCAAATTCGCTTTCGCTTTCGCCTTCTATTAAATAGAAGTTTTACTTGTGATTTTATTTAATTCAAACTACAAAATCAAATATTAAAATTCGTCTAAGCCCAATTTTGTGCTCAACATATGCATAGCATTTAGGCACTTACTAGTTTTATTTGATTCAATTGAAAGAGATCCAAACGCTAAGACAAAAATCAAAATGAAAGAAGCTTGTTACTGCTCAAGTATTTTCTTCATATGCCGATTCTTAGCTTGTAAAGCTTCTAATTCTTTTTTGTGGAGGTGCAGATGGTAATGGCCGCATTATAGCATCCCATATCATTTTAGCAACCTCCATGACCTTCTTCTTGATGTTGGTGGCTTGAGTTGTAGTGCGGAGTTGGTTGTTTTGCGTTGAGTTTGGAGGCCGATAGCATATGATTTTTTTTTTGGGGGGGGGGGGTCACCGTTAGTTGGTGGAGACTATGCTTCTATGACTTTCTATTGATTTTGGAGACAAATCCTAGTTAATTTAACAGATTTTTAACTGGGGTTACGTAATGTAACATTTTCAATAGGTTGGGTATTTGTTCGGAATGTTCAAAAAGGTAGAGACTAATTTGAAATGACACTAAAAGGTTATGGGGTTTTAGGTATTTAATCCTATATTTATCTCAAAGAAATTTTTTTCTCTCTTTTAAATATTAAGAAACCCGATAAATCTTGATTTAGCCAAATTGGCTAGACCAATGTGTTTCCTTTTATGCACCCAAGTTCAAATTGTTTTTCTTGTAGATTAGAATAATTAGTGTACATTATCTTGTCATATGTTAAGAAAAATAAAAGTCTTACCGAAACTAATTCTGACGGTTAAGAATTAAGGAAAAAAAAAGAAAGTATTAGAAAAAAAAACTTAGCTAGATTCTACTTTTAGTTGGATTGACTTAAGAATTAGAGCATCTCTAAATGAGATGTCAAAATCCTACGTGGAATGTTACTGTGCCTATTTGACATCAAAGATATATCCAAAGGAAGTGTTATTTGCTGATTTGATTTGAAAACTTTGTGATTAGGAGTCAAATTTATCTTTAATTCGTTTTAACGGTGGGTCTCTCATTCCACTAACATTTCAACCAATAAAAATTTTGTTTCAATGTTATTTTAATAATTACAACCATTTAAACCTCTACTTAAATAAGAAAATTACATTTGACAATTCGGTTAGAGAGGTAAAAAATTTGACATAAGACTTCAGATTGCCACATCAATCATCAATTGTAATTTGACTCTTAGAATTTGACACTTCATTTGGGGTCGTAAATGTCTTGGCAAACACAGCATTAGTGTCATTTTATAGCTTACATTCATCTTTGTTTGGGTGATGTTAGAGAGACTATTTTTTAGGCTAGATTTTGTAAACTACATAATGTGACGGTTGATGGTTAGATCCTTCCCTAAATCATTGAAAAGAAAAATCTAACAATCAACTGTCACATCATATAATTCACAAAAAAAATCTTAATAATAGTATCGTAGCATTTTCCTTTTTGTTTTGCAGGTGATCAAACCATCGATCATTTTCTACGTGTTGACCAAAACTTTAAGCAAACAAGTTTTGATCTGGCATTAGCTAATTTATAAGATTAATTAATCAGCAAAATCTGGCCAACGGATGACAAAATCTAATTACTTCTAGAAAGAAGATTTTTTTTTTTTTTTAACAAACGATAGCATTAGTATACGATAGATGTCCCGATCTCTTTACGACATTTAATTAATTATGAATCACAAGTAATACTATTAATTTAGGGTTTAGTTGATAACTAGAAATTATTGATGGTGATAGAGTTCCTAAATCTTGTAAAATATTTGAAACTATATGCCAATGAATAATTGGAGGCAAGTAGGCACACCCTCGGATACCTTTGAATGCGTTAAACCTAATATTATCGTCCACATATGCATTTTTTATACGTTTTAAACTTGTGATTTGCTACCTATCTATTATGGATCAGATTTTTTATTCTGTTAATTCGAGCATTTGAGACATGCTTAACTTGACATTAAATGAAGTTACGATGAATATTTCAAGCCATTGATTTATCTTTTATGCAACTAATCACTTTAATGTCATGTTTTTCCAATAATACTCCTCCGACTTCGGATACCACCGCAACATCCAAATTAATAACATAATACACGGTGCTTTAAGTTTGCTTTTCACATATGTTTATCATAAATAATTTGAAAGACCGTGCAAGTCCACGGTTCAGGTAAAGGAAGCCGATCTTAACTAATCATATTTATCGTCTCATACTGTCATACATTAATTCCTCTTTTACTTGTAACCATCAAATTTAAACAATTGCTGCCACGCACGGCTATACGACAAAATCCGCAATGCTCTCCACCTTCATGTATGAATGATATTGTCCAACTTTGTTGATTAATGAGGGGGTGAGCCCGGTGACATGCATATTCTTCTTGGTAAAAAAAATTGGGATTGGGACCCTCTTGTTGGATCAAGGATGAACGGTGGGACACATTAACTCGATGATACGTTGGGGCCGGGCCCCATTGGGAGATACACTCTATAGACAAAGTGACCGCAAAGGTTAAATAAATTCATTGAAATTCCTTATTGCATGGTTTGAACAAGGGTCCAAATCATTGAACAAATTTATCACTACATATATAACACTCTGTGTATACCAATGTACTTTCTCAATGTTAAATCTCCTAAACTCTATTCGTAAATTAAACACAAATTAAGAACTTCTCAATTCTTATTATTAGAAAATTGAAGGTGACGGCACGATGTAACTAGAATGTCGACGAATCGGTCTCGTAACGTTAAGCCACGTGTTGGTTCGTTTTGAAACCAAAATCAATCAAAGACTGAATCGACCGGTCCAGTTAAGTTTCAACCTAGTTTTGATTTTGGTTTTCAATTCAAAATGCCTACAAATATATATATATATATATATATATCAACAAAGGTTCTTCTGCTAGGTTTATGTGATTAGACAAATATTTATGCTTTTATATTATTAATTTAGAGGAATATGATCAACGAATCACGATCATAACAAATGTCCGGAGACAATTTGGCAAGATAATATTATAATTTAATAACTATTTGAGTACTGAGGAACTTTAACGGTTCTAATCTAATTCTATACGATTTTTATGTTTCACTGTTGGATTATACTTAATCCGACATTAAAAAGGGAGTGTATAATTTTTTGCATAGGTGATTAATAAAATGAGAAAACGAAATGATTATCAGCAAAAAAAAATAAAAAATAAAAAAAATAAAAATAAAAAAGAAAAGAAAAGAAATGAAAAATGAGTGGTAATAATATGTAATAATTAAAGAGGAATAATTTTGCTGGGTTGGATAAATCTGGTCAAACAAGATTGACTGACATGTTGGGCCACGAGACGTCGTGTTTTAGGACCAATAGCCCCATATGTTACGTTAAAAGATTTTTCAGTGTGATCAAATTATAGAGTGGTACATCACGTGTCATTATATAAATGATGAAAT